ATTTTTAATTCAAGATAAAGCAGTGGCGTAGTATTTTTTTCGCCAAAAATATACATTTCAAAACTCGTACGTACGCCACTGGCAGAGAAAATTAAGAAAATTGTACATCAGAAAATGCGCCTTGAGGCATGGAACATATGTACCAAATATGCCAAAGATGTCTACAAAATTATCTCAGTTATTATTAAAAAAATGATTATTTTTGAAAACTTTGCCACCCTGTATCTCAAAAGTTAAGGCGTTTAGGACATACGTCCATAAGACATTTTTTCCTTAAAATGGGTCTAAAAATTACCTCCTTAAATATTAGCATGTGTTTAAGGAACACCCTGTATATTGCCATATTTGTTACATCATGCACCGACAACTGTTCAAGGCGATGTGAAATACATTTAAACTACAAAACGATGACCGATGCTCGCCTGTTGCCATTCCGGGAAGAAGATATTTCTTAGTATTCTTCTCTCGGTTCTGAGTATGCGGAAGATTTGTCTCTAGGAGAGGATGTAGTAGACCGTGGCTTCATGGTCCACGATCGGTCTTATAAACATTTTGTAAATGTGTAAGAGGTTCTCACTGTCGCATCTACGGAGCTTGCTTCTCAGCGCTTTTAGGAGATTAGCCCTTTTCGGACTCTGTCCAGGATTTCTCTAAGGTCGGTGTCCCAGTTGAGGGTACTCGTGAAAGTAACCCCCAAGTAGGACACCACTTGGAGGTGGAGGTTCTCTCCCAACAGTCTGAGGTTCAAGTTGTTAGAATTCAGTTTGGGGCGGGTAGTGGTTTTAAGGGGATTCATTTTAATGCGCCACTTGTTGCACCAGTGCTCAAAGTGGTTTATCATTTTTTGGGATTATGTTTGTAGGATACGGGTGTTAGGGGCGGAGGAGTAAAGGATTGTGTCATCTGCGTATTGTAGAATTTTTCGAGTGGAGGGAAAGTCGTGCACATAGATTAGGAATAGAGAGGGTGCTAGGACTGAGCCCTGGGGAACATCCTAAAATCTCACTGGTATCATGTTTCCATTCCACTTACAAAATTAACTTATCCTCTCTTGTTGATTTTGCGAGAAGGAATAACTTTCCTGTCAAGATCCTCTTAAACAATTGATTTTTCATTTAAAAATTCTGATTTCCTAGGACGGGTTCGTGTTTTGTGTTTATTACGGAAAATATGGGGGTGTTTCCATGAGAAGTTAGACAAATTCGGATTTTTCAGTATTGAAATTTTTTCAGGGAAAAAGTGTGTTCGTAGTAAGTTGTTAGTCCTGAATCTGAAGGTATTTTGAGCCTATTTTGCCCCTAGTATGTTTTACCATAAAAATGGGGTGTTCCATCGCGGGTGGCGGGCAGTGCATGTCACTTTGGCCAACCCCATTCAAGCGGTAGGTGCATTTTTAGCTAAATCATCATTCTACTTTGAATATTACGGAAGATACGGAGATATTTATATGATAAGTGAGACACACTGTATATGGCATAATGATCGTGTTAGTTAACCTTTATAATAAAAGATCCGTAAATATTTCTGAAATTCACAATGGATGTTTTTTACCATTTTGAAAGTGGTAAAAAAAATAGAAAGTTTCAATTATCTTTTCTTCATTCACAATTGAATATGAAATCCGACCTCTTCGAACATATTTTTTGGAAAATGATTAGGAAAATGATAACAATAGTGACTAATTATATAACAAAAAAATATGGATAAGTTATCAATAGATATATTAATATTACTTAATTAAAATGTATCATGTTCACATTACAGATGAACAAAAACATTTAAAGTGGATAACAAACATCCATCAACGATAACTATACAAAATATGTTTCTGATACGATTTTTTGATAAGGATCTAAATGCATGAACACAAAGATGCAGTTTATGTTCTGATGATTTAGTAGAAATTTTCGATGAATTATCTTTCATCCCTCAATCGTAACTAGTTTTTCAGCAACTTGATTAATGCTAGGTCAATTTATATTCCATCATTGGTCAAGAAGATCTACTTGCTTATGGAATATTGAAAACTTCTCAGTATATACTTTCAACTGGGCCTAATGTCCTCCCAATACTTCTCCAAGATCATGTGGTGATCAATTGAACCTCTTTCAGAAAGAAGTCTTCCACACCTTTCATATCCATTCATATAATCTCAAGGACGTTCAACTGGTATAAATTCATTTTCACCGAAAAAAAACTGTGGTTTTTTTTCTGAAGGTGATAAACTTTGAATAACTGCTCTTGTTAGGCTAAGAAAACCATTTCAATCTGGCAAAGGTGATGGAGGTGTCATCAGTTGTTGGCAGTGAATTGTTGTTATTTTTAGAGACATCATTTAACCACCTGACCAATAGCAGGTAACGACTTTCCACTTACACTCTTTTCCAATATCATGTTGGTTACTGTCTCCAGCGGTTACATTCTTCTAGAAAATCCTTTGTGAACACTTTACCAAACCGCAACACGTGTTTGACCATACAATACCTTTCTCAGTATGTATAAACGAGCAAAACCTTGACATTCGATCGAACTTGGTGTGCTTTTTTTGGTCTTATTGGCGCTCCTGGGCTCTTCCATTGGGACCATTGGACTTTTGTTTCGATGTCATAATTTTATACCCATGATATACAACTATACCACCCTTTCGAACAGATTTGGTTCACCGTTGACGCCATTCAACAATTCCTTAGCGATGCTCATGCTACGGTTTTTTAGTCAAAATTCAGCAATTTTGGAACGCACTTCACTGCCACACGCTTCATTCCCAAAATTTTCAAAAAACCTGCATTGCAAGAGCCAACCGATAAGCCGATATTCTCAGCAACTTCTCAGATACTTATTCGACGATTCTCCATAACAATTGTCTCCACTTTCTCACCATTTCCATCGGTTGTTGATGTGCTGGGCCGTACAGGGCGAGCGTCGTCTTTTACATCTTCTCGACCTTCTGTGAAAATCTTGTAGTCTAATCAACAAGTTAAAAAACATGAAAAATAGAGATAAAGGTCCTAAAATATGAGCGACACCTTATTCGATTCGGAATCACCTCTAGGAAAATGCTTTTGAAGGATTTTGGTGCAGTTAAAAAATTGCAATTATTATTAACAATATAAAATTTAAAAAAATGGTATTGAGTTTTTCGTTAATAACTCAAACAATATTAATATTTAAGCAATTTTGAAAAAAGCTCGTTAAAGAGGAGAAAATTTCCGATAAAAAAGTCCCAACTCCCGAAACTCTATCTCCATTATTTATAATTTTAATTTGACGTTGAAAATAGGGTTCACCCCGGTAAACCTTAAG